CGGCCCGGCCCGGCTCGGCCCAGCCGCGCTCACCTCGCGGCCTCCGGCCTAGCAACGGTCGCCTCTGTCCTGCGCGCGCGCCACCGCAAGCCCCGCCCCCTCCCCGGCGGCACCGCCTCCCTATTGGCCGCTTCAAAAAGGCGAGCGCGTCCCAGCGTAACCCGCGCGACTACAACTCCCGGTGTGCCCCGCGCCGGCCTCCTCTGTCTGCGCCGCGGCCGCAGGTGGGGACTACGAGTCCCAGCATGCCCCGCAGCGCCGGCGCCGGAAGTGCGTGTTGCGCCGTGAGGCAGAGGGCGGGCGGGCTGAGGGGGGCGTGTCGCTCTCGCTCGCCGTGCGCGCTGTTAATCACCGTTAATTACCGTTAATTGCTGCTGGCCCTGAGGGCACGGGCTCGGCCGCGGCGACTTTAAATCAGTTCTTCGTTAGCAAGCAGCTGCTGGAGATTCCGTTCCTCTTTCACGCGTTTGCCGTCGCCCCGCCGTGTTGTTTTCGGGTCTTTTCTCTGCTTTTCGTTTCGCCGTGAACGCGGCGGCCTCCGCGCTGCCTCCGGCGTCCCCCCGCCGCGCCGGGATCCGTTAAAACCGTTGGAACGCCGCTTAGAGAGCCCCCGGCGCACGGCCGGAGCCCCCCGCCCCGTCGCGGGGAGCCGCGGGCCCCTCAGCGCTGCGGRGCCGGGCCGGGCCGCGCTGCAGGCCCCGCAGCCCGGGCCGAGCCCCTAACGGAGACCCCCGCACCCCCCCGCGGTGCCCCGCGCTGCGGCCGCCCCCGCTCCGCGTCCCGCGGCGGAAACACGCGAGGGAGCGGGCGCGATTTTACAAACGAGGCTTCCAAGGGGTTTATTCCTCTCTTTAAAAATATTTACAGGTCTGCAGCGGCGCGAGGCGAGGGAGGCCGCCGAGGAGCGGGGCAGCAGGAGCGGGGCCCGGCGCCGCTGCCCGCCCCGGGGYGGCCTCAGTAGTCGACCTTGCTGTAGAGGTTGTAGAGCGGCAGGGCCGGGAGGCTGCTGCCGGGGTAGTAGAGCGGCGCCGGGAAGGCGACGGAGCGCGGCACGGGCACGCGCAGCACGGAGCTGTCCCTGAACACGAGCGGCATCCCCACGAGAGTCTGCGCCGAGGCGTGCGCCAGGTTGGCCGCCTCCAGCTCGGCCGAGAGCTGCCGCTTCCACTTGTTGCGGCGGTTCTGGAACCACGTCTTCACCTGCGTCTCGGTGAGCTGCAGGCTCGAGGCGAGGCACGCGCGCTCCGAGCTGCTCAGGTAGCGCTTCACGTCGAAGGTGGACTCGAGCTGGTAGACCTGGCTGCGGCTGAACACSGTGCGCGTCTTCTTCTTGGCCGCCTGCCGCTCGGCGCCGTCGCGGGGCCGCTCGGCGCACGAGGGCGAGCAGCGCCCCGGCGCCTTCTCCTTCTCCGCCTTAAAGTCCGCGGGCGAGGGCGGCAGGAAGGGCGGCCGCTCCGCGACGCTGCCCTTGGCGCTGCCTGCAACAACGGGGGACAGAGCGGCGGTGGCGCGGCCGGCCCGACGGCGGCCACGGCCCCGGCCCCGCTGCCCGTCTGCCAGCCGGGCGGCCCCGCCAGGAACCCGCCTCCCTCCCCGCGATCCCGGCGGGAAGCGGCACCTGGGCCGGGACGAGGCTCCCGCTGCTACCTGTGTGCCCGGCACCTGCGCTGGGGCTGCCCGCGGCTGCAGGGGTGGAGGGACACGCGTGTCTAGGGAGATGTCCCTTCACGCCGCGCGATGCCGGGTTTTCCTTTATGGTATCGCGTTTCACACACCGTTTAGTTAGAAATAACGCTGATAATTCGTCTCTCCACCCGCCCCCCCCGGTCACCTCTTCCTCGCCACTGTAAACGAGAGGAGTCGATAGAAGGAAAAAAAAACGTTTTCTTCGTTACGAAACGGCCACGCGCCGCTTCCCCGTGGGGAAATTACCCCGGGGAGGGGGAACAGCAACAGAAGAAAGTGGGGGAAATAAAAGACACCCAGATTTCGATTTGTTCGCACATCCGCGGAGCGCGGTGGCCGCGGGCGCTACTCACCGGTGATGCAGGTGAAGGCGAGCGGCTGGGGCGGGCGACACGCGTCGTGGGCGCCGGGCGCGGCGGCGCAGGGGCAGCCGCGGCCTTTCCAGCTCTCCTCGGCCTCCTCCTCGTCGTCCGAGGAGAGCGAGGGGTTGCGCGGGCGCGCGGAGGCCGCGCGGGAGCCGTCGGCGCCGCCGCCCAGGATGGACTGGATGGTGAACGCGGAGCGCGGGGCCGCGGGCGCGCAGCGCTTGCTCGCCTCTTCTGCGCCGCTCATCCTGCGCTCTTAAGAAATAAGGGCAGGACAAGCGCTGCCTTTAGAGGCGCGGGGGGGGCCGGCGSGCGGGGGGGCTCCGCGCCCCGCCGCGGCTCCGCGCGCCGTCATTTGCATGGAGGTGGCCCCCGCCGCGCCAAAGGCGGCGCCGGCCAAACTTCGGGAGCGCTGGGGAGGGGACGGAGGGGACGCGCGCACACGCGCG